ATAGAAACAGGTTAAGTGACTTCTAACAGGACCCACCTGCCCCTTCCAGCACACACGAAAACCCAAGAGCATTGTTCTGTTGGATGCAGCGCGGAGCAATCCCTGCTGTTTTCCTCAAGCACACCATGATATTTAAGCAGACCTGAGCTGCAATAAAAGACTGAAGCCATGCTGCATTTCCTGGACTTACTGAATCTGTATTTTCCACCAACCACATCCATTCGTCCTCCCCCATTTCACAAGGCCACAAGCCTCAACACTAGAGCTTTTCTGAGACAGTCTCGGCTGACAAACACAGCAAGGAAAATTCAGATTGGGCGAAATTATGGGATCTTCACTTAATCTTAATAACAATCAACACCATTAATAGATCCACTGATTTCCAAGGGAATACCTGTGGACTGAAATATTACCCAGCTGTTGCAATCTGTCCCATGGCAGAGGTTTTACTCCAATTTTACACAAAGGCAACGGCTTTAGTCATGCTTCCTCTTCTGAAAAGCCCGAGAACATTGCTTTTATCAAGCCACTTGCTGCAGAAATTTAATTGCACTCAACCTAGGACTTGGTGGTGCTACTGCGCAGTGCACCTTACAGTCCATCTCCATTTGTCCTTGGGCTGCAAGGGTGCAGCCAGTGCCCACCACCCTGCCAAGGGCTTGGGTCTTCACATCCCTTTGGCAAAATGAGGATGGAAGAGCACTGAGAGGCCATGGGTGAGTGCTGGACTACAAAGGATTCGTGGAAGCCTCTGTGCTACCTCTGCCTTCAGAAACGAAGGCACTGGGCACTGCTCAGGTGTTGATGAGAGCAGTCACACTGTAGTCTGCAGCAGAAGCACTGGCTTCATCACACCCAGACTCAGAGAGTCTGGCTCCTATCTTATTGTAACGCAGCAATATGAGCAGCAATGCAAGAAAAAAAGGAGCTAGATTTTATAGGCATATGTTTAACTCTCTTTCTCGACAGGACCAGTGGTCCAGCACTTGCTTTCATCCTATCTCCCAGACAGCCTATCAATCCTCCCACCCCAACACAGCACCAGCACCCTGGCTTCCCCTGCTGCTGTCCCACCTGGCAAACATCAGATTCCCCTGGTGACACTGCCTTACTCCCCCAGTCCATGGTGTGCAAGTGAGTCGGGGCATACCTTCCCCTTTGCTGCCATCAGCCAGGAAACATCACCAGATGTGTAGATTTTACATTTTAAGGTCAGGCTGAATTCAAAGTAGATGCAGCAAATTTTCTTTTATGAGCACATTACGTTCAAAGCTTCCAATTCATCTGCAGAAAAAGCCCATGGAAACAACCTGATACTGAAATAGCAACTGTTTTGGTGGAATATCACCCAAAATAATAAAATTCTGTTTAAAATTTTACCATTCAGTCCCTACATACTGTTCTCCCTAAAATCAGATTTAAAATGTTGCTGTGTAATAAATTAAAGGAGGCATCATTAGTTACCATATCAAAAGACACGAACAACAACATAATAAGCAGGGGAGTTAGCGCTCCAGAAAGGATCTGATCCTGGTTTTGCCATCACAAGTTAAGTTAAGGAAGGCAGTGATTGTGTTAGCTTTAATTTCAACATGCTGAGTACTCGAGTTATGTACAGGAGTGGCTGCTTGTTAGAGGGAAAAACAATGGAAAGACATATTTTGCACTCAGATCAGTGAAAATGCTACTACAGTAATATAAAAGACTGCACAATCACCTGAATTATGTTCATCTTTAAAAAAAGGGAAGACTTAAGAAATACTTCCTGTTTCCTTAAGGTGAAGAGATTAAGGACCCTCGCCAGTTCTTACTGGAGTCAATGGAAGCCTTGCCACAGCAGAACAGGACCTTGGAAAGAGATGGTCATGTTGGCAAATGGTGGTTTTCTAGCTTTGTAGCCATAGAGCATTGCTTGGATGTGATGTTAAAGTAGGCAAAGCAATCTTCTTTTAGCCATTGCTACAAGAAGCCTTTCAGCCTGGCAGTTTAAACCGCTTGCCCTGTGAAGTACATAGCCAACTTTGGTTCTAGTTATTTAAATACATAGAGAAAGGAAAAAGAAAAGCAGTTCTTAGAAATAATCTGGGCACAGTCTCCATAACAAACAGCATCTGAGCATTCCTAAACCAGTGACATCCTTCCTGCTAGATCGCTAAACTGTCCATGACAGAAAAGTGGAGAGATATAATCCACTCCATGCAAAACATCACTCAACATCCTCACCTGCGTGTATGAGATGACAGAGGAAAGATCTCCATTTTAAATATCTTTGCTGCTTGTTTTGAAGGCAAATTAATGTTTTCAAGACCAAGAAGCAAGAGCAAAGACTTCCTGAAGAATGCACTGGTAGCAGCTCCTTTATTTCAGTGCTGGAAGGCTAGATCAAGAATCTCAGTTTCCCAAGCAACTGCAGTATGGCTGACAGGGAATGAGAGACATAGAGGAAAAAATAAAGGGGGGTCCCAAGCAACAGTACTCACTGTTTTGGATGGAGAAGGCCTCTAAGCAAGAAGAACTTTAACAACTTGCTTTTGCAGGAATAAAGGCCCCCAGGACATGGCTTGAGTGTTTATAGCTCTTATTCCTTTGCACGACAAGTTCTTCCATTTCTCTCTATGTGAAATGGACCTAGGCAACACCAAATCAATGCTGACCATTCTTATCCAAGTTGCTCAAAAGGAAGACAAGATGTGAGCTCATGATGAGCTAAACAATTCCTGTGAGCCAAATTAAAACTAAACTGTCCCCTGAACACAAACAGCAAGGCAGATTCAGATGCCTCCCACTCACAGTGAACAGCACCGCAACTCATAACAAGGAAATCCAGCCCCTCAATGGAAGAGAGGGATGGTCAGTGGGAACCAGTCCCAGGCCGCTGAAAACAACTCACAGTGTATTCTCAGCATTGGATCTCAGAAGGGTCAGTTGTGCAATTCTGCTCAGACACGTGGGGTTATATCATCGTGACGAAAACATCAACAAAGCAAAGGCAAAAAACAACTAAAAAGGGAAAAGACAAAACAAAAAAAACCCAACCCAGCAGAAGCTGTCACGTGTAAACTCTGCCAAGACTCATCTCTGCAGCATGTCTAAGTCAGTGTCAATTTGTTTTTCCAAGACAGAAGCCTCAGCCTTTCATATCAATAACTATGAAAATACATTTTCAGGCCACCTTGCTTAGAGTCCCCCATTGTGGCTGTTAGATAACCATCTGCCTTGCAAGTAGCTATTGTTACTGTGAACTGTCTCTTTCGTTCCATTATCTTGCTGAAAAGCCTTTTCTGAAAGTAGTCCATTAGAGCAGGGGAAAAAAAAAACAACTCGGAGTATGGTCATGTAGCAGAATCAATGGTTCCCTTTGATCTGCAGGCTCAGTACTACAAATTTGAGAAACAACAAGGTTTTGCTTTGCTAAGCAAAGCCTGTTAATTTGGCTCATCTGCACTTATAGCATCTTACTGAAAACGCCATCTGTATCAGACATTTTGAAGACTTTGGTGCAATATTCGCTTAGCTTAGATAAATAATTCAGTTAGAGTCATTAAAAAATAATCATTGAATTAATTTTCATAGTGTACATCTATGCATGTAAATTTTAAAATTCAATCCTCTACTACCCTGAATGATGGTGAGGATATTCACAGTGGATGAAGGGAATGCTGGTGATTGGTGGAATAAGACTGAACATAGGGTGTTCTTATCCTAGTCATGGAATTTCTTCTGAAAGCTACTATGTGTGTTTGAGTCCTATTACTGGCAAGAGCAAAATGCATATGCACCACAGGGAAAATAAGACCCTTTATGTCTGTTGCAGGCCACACATACAATACAGGAAACTTAATTCCTATCATGACAAAAGAAGCCCACAAAAACATCACTTCATGCAACCGAAAGGAAATCTTTTGTGCTGATATATAGGACAGGAATGTATACCACTGAAATCATTGTAGATCGGTATAAAACACTACTCAATGGATAGAAAAAAATCCTAAGAACATACAAAATTTACCAGTAGCAACCTGAAAGTGCAAAGAGTACACATAACTGAATGCCAAGTCCTGACCTATAAAATCCTTTATCAATGACATACAAGCTGATAATTACAAAGCATCGAGACCACAAAATAACAAATAAAACAAAGAAAAGTATTCTTTAAGAGAATCAAAACAACAACAGCATTGGGAATGTTATCTTTGGGACTCAGAACACCATTTCAACCTCGATACCTACCAAAGCCAAGGAAAATATATGCTTGAACAGGATAACATAAATAGGAATGCAAACAACCACAGAATGCCTCAGGACTATCACCTCTTTATGTTTCAGCCTTTAAATCCAGCAAGCCATTAACTGTTTGTTCTTAGGCATCTCACAGTATTTTGCAGGGATCTTTCAGGAATTAAATATAGCTCTAAAGGAAGCCTTTGAACCTCCTCCCAGTGATTGTTTTAGGCATTGTGTGGAGCTATACAAATATATTTGTATGAAAATTGTAAGCCCTAGTAAATATTAAATTTTCTATCTCCTTTGAAATAAAAAACATAGATAGCTTAAAGACAAAAAGTGAGTTTTATACATACAAAGTTAATTTGAGCATTAAATTGTATTTTTACTCTCACATAACCATTACCCTGAATCAACGTCAGTATGTTGCAATGATTCATAACACTGACGCCCTACTACAAGCTACTTTCCCATTTTCCTTTTAAGGATATGATTGTCCTCAAAATACGTACATAGCAAGCAGCCAAATGAACCGCCAAGAGATCTGCAAAGTGTACTTAACACTGGGTATGCCATAGAAAGCTTGGGAGCGGGGCTGGGGAGCACCTGGCTTGGGCAAGAATCACAGCCAAGCATCACAGTCACCCTCCTCTCCTGCACTCCTAGCCAGGCCAGGACTCCCCACTCCACCCTGCACCACACCAAGGAGGAAGCTGCCCACCAACATGCAGAGGACAGAAGGAAAATGGGGCAGAAAACAAAAGGAGAGAGAAAAATGTGGGGGAAGCCAAAGCATTTTAATGATGATTCATGTTAGTCATTACATGAGAGGGAGCTAGTCCAGTGTCACTCTACTGGTTCCTCAATACGGACATGCTGCAATGCAAACAAAATGCTGATGATGAATAATTTGCCAAACACAGGTCCTGTAGAGATGGTAGCTGGTATCTTCTAGTGGTTTTAAAGATGCGCCACTCCTACTACCTGTACTCAGTGCTTCCAGTTTCTATGGTACCACTCGAAGCTCAGCACATCCTCCCTCCCTCTCAACTTCCAGTACCCTGCAAAATCTCTCTGCACAACACAACAAAATGGGGAATTGTGATTTTTCTGCAGAGTTGTCATGCAAGGAAAGATGTGTCCCTTACAGTCAAATGAAAACAAACAGAAAATGGAATGTTAGGTTTAGGGCTGAGGACCAGGATGTTCTGTACTTTCATCCTTTTGAGGGTATTTCAGCTTTAACTTTCTAAAATGCACAAGCAGAGTCAGGCCAAATGCAAATCCCTTTCTCAGGCAAAGGAAATCACCGCCAGCATGTCTGGAGACAGATCCATAGCACATGCACTCCGCCTGTGTGCAGGAGCATGCACGAGTGGCTGCGTTCATGAGTGTGACGTGCGCAGGTGTGTGTGTGTGTGTCTTCACCCCACTGCACGTAACCCAGGAGGAGGTGCATCCTGACTACACATGCATATGTACAACACGCCTGTGTGAGTAGGCATACAGAAAACTACACACATACACATTAGAAAGAAAACATATAAAATAACCCTCTTTGAAGTGTATTAAGGTTCTTACTCAAACCAGGAAAACAAGGACTGATCAGGAAAACACTTTATCCCAATTCACTGGGGCATTGCAGCTCGGTATTAAATCCTGCAATCATTTCAGAACTTGATGCCAATTTTACCCTAGTGACTAGAAGGTCATTTCCCCAGTGAACCACACATATACATATATACAATTCTTATTATGGTATTTAATAGCTTTTTATGGTTTATCTTTAACCTTAATATCCTTCAAATTTATATTCTGTATATTTATTTTCCTTCTTTTTCTTTCTGTTTAAGAGACAATAAAATGAACTGCTATGTAAGATCAGACCCATTAGCTTCAATTATGTGAATTTAGGATTCTCTGCATAATATAGACATGTATATTTTAAAAATGTATATTATTTTTCAGATACACTGGACCATATATTTTATATTAACTGTGGTCTGACGATTAAATACTTATATCAAAATATTTTGTAAATACATAATATTTACCTTTAGACTTCAGTGATTTTGGAGTTTTTTCAGTGTATCATAAAAATATGTCCTCAGGCACGTTAAAACCTTAATAAATTTCTTTGACATGTTGTCAATGCCCATGTACAGTAGCCACTACTCAAAAATGTCCTGGCCATTAATACATTTCTCATAAGATCCAAGCTCATCAGACCATTTTATGTGTCACTAGCTTACCGTATTTCTTTTTCTCTCTTAAAGTAAAATTATTCTGACATTATTAAGAATGAAAATAAAAAACAATGAGAACCCAAACTTTCTTTAAATAGTCAAAAACTAATTTTATATATTTTAAAAAATTATAATTAAAACCCATGTTTTTCTCCTGGGTTCCTTCTCTGTAAGGTTTAAGCCCAGAGCAACTTTGTCCAAACCCCTGAAAATAGAGGTTTGCAGTGGCAGTGTTGTCAGAACCTCAGCTCTGACTCACGGAATGTGCCACTGGAATAAAATCAGCACTTCAGATTTACTTATCTGGGGATGTATGAGCCCATACAAAACAGAGTTTTGCTCTAATTTAAGGTACTTACACAAAGTTCTATTATTTTAGAACTGTAAAATTATCTAACTATAAAAACTAGCTCTTGCTTAAACTCTAGATAATACAGACAGGTGATTTTTTTTTAATATAAAAATCTGTAGCATTGAGTAAATCTGCTACAATATGTATATATTTACACACGGCGAGCAAGTTACGGTATAAATGTGAACAGTGTGTATATATTGGCATTTAGTAAAATGTTTCCCTGAACCTGATTGTATGTGTTATTGGACAAGTATCGATGTAAACATCTGAACCTATGTCAGGTGTCTCTGTTACCCATTTACATTAGACCAGATCAAAACCAACCAGACAGACAGACGAACAAAAATGTGTTTCCTGTTAGACAAGTCCACTTAACTCCTTTAGTTATCTACTGCACACATGTCAATCAAGTCTGCTGCTGAGCACTGTTCTCCTTCCTACAGCAGGTAAAATACCTGTTAGGGTGGCTGGTTTTTTGCTTGGCATTTTTTCCAACATCTTGTAGAGCAATAATAATTCTGGGAGCCAGGCACCCACCTTCAACTCCTCCCCCAGAAACGATTAAAAGATAAGTGTATTGGAGAACCTCTCATGTCACTCCTTTTGGAACCGTACCCTTGAAGAACTCATGGCACTGCTTTGCATGAGGAAGGAATAGGCTCATAATCCAAGTCCTGCTTCCAAAAAGGTATGTAAAAATGAACCTCCCCAGTGTTTAGTGCTGCAGAAAAAAGATATAAATGTAAAAAAAAGTGCTCAAAAAGAAGTTGACTTTTTATATTCAGCCATACAGTCTCATAAGAAGGAGGCCAGTAGGGTACAGTGAAGTAAGCCTTTTAGGTGCCTTTCTTCAAGGTGATGCAAAACTAATTCATTATCTGTGGTCTCCTACACAGACTTTCACACGCCCACCTTGCTGTCCATCTTTGTTTCCACCTCTTATTCAACTACTTTTTGGCACTGTCGTGGTATGCGGCAGCTTTCACTGTTGTCCCTGCTAAGCCCCTGTTACTGACCCGCCGTACCAGTACTTTAGAGACAGGGATTTTTGTTCTGTGCATCTCACTTTTGGCCAGGTGATGGTGTGCGACGTGATGGCTGTTACTGGTATCTGCTCCATGGCTGGCAGAATGTGAAGAAAGGTGTTTAATGCTGATGGGTATCTTGGAGTCCTTCACTGTGCTTGAGGGTGTTTTCAGTGTGGTTGTTATTGGAGACACAGGCTTGGAGCGTGGCACACAGGTGACCTCTTCCACTGTAGGTGCTGCTGGTGGGTTCTCATCCGGCTCAGCATAGAGGTCATAGAGAGCATCCCCACTGTAGCTGTCCCTGGGGATAGTCTCCTTCTGGATGCTTGTGGAACTGTCTTCCTCAGGACCAGGGGTGGTGGAATCCCAGTAGCCCTCATCGCTATTTGGGATACCTTCGTGCTGCTCCTTCTCCCTGCCCTTCTGCTCCTCTTTATGGTTGAGGTGAATAGGGATCTGGTGGAGGCCACCACGTTTCCCCACTGCCCTGCTCTGGGCCCCCTCAGCACCTCGGCTCTCCTTCAACACCTCGGGTTTCTTTGTCCCTCCTCCACCTCCTGTTGGGGTCTCCTCTGTCTGTGACAGCATGTCCCAGAACTCCTGCAGGCAGGTGTCATCCACCTGGTCTGGGCTGGCCATCTCCTCCCCTCCTCCCTGGTAGGTCACCATGGTCGGGTGCTTCTTGGAGGCACCCAGCTTGCCAGCCCCGAGGGTGCTCTTCTCGCAGACGACACTCCCGCTGCCCACATCCTCCTCATGGTCCGCAATAATATCTCCGCAGCCTGTAAGAGAGTCAAAGCTTTTCAGTGAAGTCACGTCAGCAAACATCAAACAAATACGATCAATCGATTGCTCTGAGGGTGGATCAACAGAGGAAGGGTCAGGGGCGGCTGCCGTCTCTTGACCGCTATCACAGTGAGGTGCAACAGGGGGGATAGTCGTTATTGGAATGTCACCTGTTATGGCCGCATCCTTCGCAGTTCCAACCTCTCCGGCGCCCGGGTCCGGTCGCTCGTGGCAGAGCTCCTCGGGTCGCCTTCCAGCAGCGGCCGGGTCCTCCCGGCCCGTGGGGCTGCTGTCCCGCGGCTCCCCACCGCCCGCCCCGGCCTCCTCCTGGGCCGCGGTGAGTGCCTCCCCGCTGCGCTTCTCCCGCGGCGCGTCCAGCCCCGCGTCTCCTGCGCTGCCCGGAGTTTCAGACAAAGGTTTTGGCGTCTCTTCTTTGATGCACTCCAGACTGGCAGTCAGAGACCCCGGCATAATAAGGCCGGACTGGATCTCCGAGGTTTCTCCCCTCTCATCCTTGCCATTTTTGTCCTTTCTGTGCCATCGCATGCTGCTGAAGATGCCTTTCAGCCCCTTCTTTTGTCTGCCGCCTGCCCGCTGCTCTGCGCTCTCCGCCTTGCCGTTCTCCGGCCTGCCGTTCTTCCGCAGCAGGGAGAAGAAGCTGTGCGACTTGGCCACCGAGCTGCCGGCGGACACGCCGAGGCTGCCGCTCGGCCGGCTCTGCGGCTCCCGGCTTTGCGGGTCGCCGCCGCCCGGTTCCTCCTTTTTGCTGCTCTCCAGCACGGCGTCGGCCAAGCCGTCGTGCGTCCGGCTCCGCACCATGCCCGCTTTGCCGGCGCCCTTCCCCTCCCCGCCTTTGCTCCTCACCCCGAAGATGCTCGGCATGGTGCCCCCGGACTTCCTTCTCTTGAACAGTTTGAAGGCGGTTTTGTTAATCCTCCCCGACGGCTGCTCGGCGGCCGGAGGTTCGGCACAGTCGCACTGCGAGTCCATGTCTACCGCGGCCGCGGCCTCCCCTGCGCCGCCGCTCCGGTGCCCGGTGCGATCCCTCACTGACAGCCGCCCCGCCGCCGCCGCCCGCCCGTCTCCATGGCAACCCGGAGGAGGGGTGGATGTGGATAAACCGCTCTCTCTCCGCCGCGGGCCTGCGCCAGGCCGCCGGCGCCCACCCCGGACCAACCTGCTCCGCCGCCGCCCTCCCGCAGGCCTTACATAACCGAGCCCCGCCGCCGCTCCTCCCGCCCCAAGCGGGCACGGCCTGCGCCAGGCGCTGGAGGACGCCCCGCTGCAGCCCGGCCGCCGCTGCCGCCCCTCTCAGGTGCGCGGGGAGGGCTCTGCGTAGGGCACCGTGCGGCGCGAAGTGAAGCGAAGCGCAGTGAAGCGCCAGTGCCGCCCAGAGAAAGCGGGAGGCGGTGGAGGACGGGGAGCACACGGTGTGCAGGTGGCAATGCACCACATGGCAGGGGCACCCACACCGAAGCCGGGAGGTGCACGCCCCCAGGGGCAGAGGCAAAGGATGACAACTTCGACAACTTCGCCCTCCCCACACCTTGCTCCTCTCTATCCCACCTCACCGGGACGGCGCCAGGGAGCCGCGTAAGCCAACGGCATCCTGGCTTGTGGCAGCAGGACCAGGGCAGTGATCACCCCCTGTACTTGGCACTGGTGAAGCTTCGTCTCAAATCTGTGTTCAGTTCTCAGTCCCTCACTACAAAAGAAACACTGAGGTGCTGGAGCAGGTCCAGAGAAGGGCAATGAAGCTGGTGAAGGGTCTGGAGCACAAGCCTGATTAGGAACAGCTGAGGGACCGGCGGGTGTTTAGTCTGAAGGAAAGGAGGCTCAGGGGGGACCTTATTTCTCTCTACGACTACCTGAAAAGAAGCTGTACTGAGGTGGTGGTTGATCTCTTCCCCCAAGTAACAAGTGATACGACAAGAGGTAATGGCCTCAAGATGTGCCAAGAGAGGTTTAGATCATATATTAGGAAAAATTTCTTCACAGAAAGGGTGATCAGGCATTGGGACAGAATGCCCAGGGAAGTGGTGGAATCACTGTTCCTGGGAGTGTTCAAAACACATGTAGATGAGGCCCTCAGTGGTACAGTTCAGTGGTGGTCTTGGCAATGCTGAAGTAAAGGTTGGACTTCATGATCTTAAAGGTCTTTTCCAACCTGGTTGATTCTATGATTTTATGATTCTATGTCTTCCCTGACATGGAGGGGGACCACAGCAGCAGCACCCAGACCAGCCTTTCCCCAGACCCCGCATGCACTGTGCAGAGTCATGGCACCCAAACAATGCCCACAGTGTGCTGCAATCAGGGATGGCAGCCAGCAGCACAGACACTAAACCTCCCCTGGTGCAGCTTTGAACTTTTCCCACACATCCTGTCACTGAATACCAGGGAGAAGAGCTCAGCACCTCCCTCTTGACCTCCCATCCTCTGGAAGCTGTGGGGAGCAATGAGGTTGTTCCTAAGTCTCCTTTTCTCAAAATCAGACAAACCTGGCCAAATTAACCTGCCCTAAGCTCCAAACTTGCTAAACACCACCTTCACTGTGGCTCTCTCTTGAGGCTGGGTTATTTCGGCTCAGGGGCAGTGCTCTGCACCACAGCTGCAGAGCAGACCTGCTTTCAGCTGGAGCTGTGATAATGCATGTGCCCTGGCAGCCTGCCTTTGCTACATAGCATTAGTCCAGGCTCCTCAAAATACAAACACTTGTCTGGGTTTTAGCTCTAAATGCAAGTGGGAACCACTAAAGATAAGTCGTATGTTGGCGCTCTGGCTTGGGGCTAGGTTCTGCTCCCTTTGAAGGCAGTAAAAGGTTTTGCCATTGACTTGAAAGAATTAGTTGGGGGGGGGGTAACATCATCAGACATTCATTGCAATCTCCCACGAGAGCAGGTTGAATTATCTGTTGTGAATAATTTATCCAGTGAATTTAGTCCTTTTTCTGTTCATGTATAAAAAGTGCCATTTGCATTCAGAATTAGAAGCTTTCAATAAGAGCAATAAGAGTACATCATTCAACATACAAGTCTCTCCTGCCTTCTGCAAGAGACACAGGAAAGGACAGATGAGAAAGAAACAAAGATTTTGGCTGGAGGAGTAGTGAGTTACATTTTACAGAGCACAGTTTATAAGTATACCCAGCACCCAGAAGCCATAGAGACCAGATCTCAGAGCAGAATCAAGACCTGTAGATCTAAATTGCTCACCTTGACCATGCCTCCATCAGCTGTGGTATGCCATGAGCTCCCCCATCACTTGGTAATATTTGTGCTCTTTAGGCAGATGAAGGAAATGTGATAAAAAAAGAGAAAATACCAAATGCTCTTGTGCAAATGCAAATACACAGAGCCTTTTCCTTTGGAAATTTGAAAGAACAAAACCTGGTCCAGTATCTTGGGAAAAAGTGGGGAAAAAAATGCTAAAAAGTAAGGCTTGGGCACATGGCTGAACTTAACAATTTTTGCACTTCCATACTGCTGTTTTGCTACATTTCAGCAATCCTTTGTATTTCACTAGTTCTTCTTATAAGCACTGAGTCTAAAGGAAAGAGGCGCAGAGATACAAAAGGCAGAGGACAGATGACTTAATGTTTCACAGCTGTATGGAACAACCAAGTTACTGTGCCCTCTTTCTTTGTTGTGTGAATATCTGCAGACATGATGGACAGGGTGGACTTTCAGCTTGTTTATCACTCAATTTAAAATCCAAGTGTTAATAGAGAAAAGTGACTTGAGGTCAACCTGAAATTACTATTTAGAAATGTTGTGACGAATTGATTTTATCCCCGACACATTTGGTTTCAATCCTTTTTGCACATTTAAAAAGATAATTTAGATAACCTTGAAGTACCTCTAGAAATGAGTTGTCATTCTAAAATGAAATGTTAAAGCATTGAACTTTGAAAGTGACAATTGACATATTCCCATTTTTTTATTTTTTATTATTTTGTTTTAACCTGAAGACATTTATGATCTCATGACATGCTTTGTCAACAGCAAAAGCTTTAGACCAAAAAATCTTCAACTTGTAACTGAAGCAGAGTAATGCTGAAGGTGGTTATATTCATGAAAAATAGCTCTTACATCTAGGGATGTTTGGACACCCAAGTGTTGTATGATCAAAGAAGTTGGAAGAAAATGTTCTCTGCCACATCTGTTATGCCCACATCCTCATGTGTGATGGGAACTTCACACAGAGAGTTCAGTGGCATTCTCTTGCCCTCTTGGTTCCCCCTGCTTTCACCTGGGATTTCCCCTGAAAGCAAATGCCTTTCGTGCAAAAACATCAAGGGATCTGGGATCAGCCTTCCCAGGTGAGCAGGGGTGGTTTCTGGAAAAGGATGGGGTGGAGCTGGATGAAATGGAGCCAGAGATATTTTCTTCCACATGGTCCTTTTGTATTCTTTCTGGTTTTACATTAGAGGAAGCTCACGTAAAGCCTATGTAAGCAATACCGACTACTTACTGGTTTTCTCAGAGGCTTAAAACTCAGCTCCCTGGGTTCTGGTAGGGATTTCTTTATGGCTTCCCTTCATCTGTGTATGTCTGGAATTGAAGTCTGCTTCTGACAGTGAAAAATATCATAACTCTGTCTTCCTGGCAAGGAGGAAGAAAGACCAAAGACACCTTGCAAAGTGGAAACTAATGAGGAGCACTAATTTAAAAGTTCAGAGAGACTTCACAGTCAGCTGAGAGCTCTTGATGACCTGCAGACAAGAGGCAGCAAAGCAGCTGTGGTGGGAGAGCTGCTTCTACTGCATCCCCCCTGATCTGGCTTAGGCTGAGGGGTATCTGGAACAGTGGAGGAGATCCCACGCCGAGCTGCACAGCACAGCCATGCCAGGAGGTATATTCCAGCTGAAGCATATACCTAAAAGGGTTTGTGGAAGAAATGTTTTCAAAGGTGGATTTTTTCAGCTTTAGAATGAATATGACTGAAGAAAAACAGACAAGAAATTCTATATAATAAAATCATTTGGAAAAAGTAATTTAGAAAACATGTATAAAAATACCAATATATATATAAATATATATATATAGGTATAATATATAGGTATACTTATATACCTATATAAAAAACATTTATAAGTATACACTTTTTAATAGAAATTAAGGACTTTGAGGTGAAGGTTATCCTCTCCTAATTCCCTGGACATACCCTATGGCTTTCTTTGGGCTACTTGCTGAAGTTTACTGTCAGAGACTGCTGGTCCAGACCCCAGCCTTGGCTCTGCCACTGCCCTGTGCTGCTGCAATCCTCAGGAAGCCACTGTTCTGTTCATTTCAGCCAAAGGTGCCTTCTCCAGCAACCCACAGGCGCCATAGTCCTGTCCCAGCCTCACTTCCTATGGAGTGGTGGAGCCATCAGGTGAAACAGCAGTAGCAATAATTACAAGCCAGCCTCACCCTTCTTTACACCAGGCAGACACTCTTAGTTTCCCCGGAGACTCCAGTGCATGGCACAGATGAATACTGAATCAAAATCCTAGGATTCATCGAGTATGAATCAGTGATGGAAGTGACAGCTAAAACCATCTTGTCTCTCATTTTGACAGAAGCCACAGAGTTTTTTGGTGTTTCAAGGTTGCCTCATGGGCTGAAGGGGAGCACTGAGCACAGAGTGACAGGACAGAGGTGTCTGAAACATCCCTGAGGGAATTTTTCACTTCATGCTTCACTTCTAAGCAGCCTCTGGGACTCCAGAGAGTCAGGAGCAGCCCTCTCAACATCATACCTAGGATGGGCTCAGTTTTAATCCAGTTTACCCATTTTCTGCTGAAGTTCTTTACCTTTTTTGTCTTGTTTTATTTCTGGTTAGCATTCCCTACATTCTCTGTGTTTCTACCGTTGCATATACTATAGCGTATATATAATTCATGGGTCTCGAAGATGCTACATCAATGTAAAACTAGTAGGTCTTCCTAATGCTAAGCAGTGAATCTAAATTACAGAAAGTGAATTGCAAGACATTGGCTGGCACAATGCATCCGGACCCTAGCTGGTGATGGGAGAAAGCAGGCTTTTAAAAAGCTATAGATAATTACCATGCCAGGGTCTAAAACTGAAGTACAGGGAGGCTCAGAGCAATAACAGCTTCACAGGGAAAACAGGCCCACTGCTGAAAAGTTACTTCAAACACTGCAGTGTCTTCTTACATGGTTAGCTACTTCACAGATAAAGTCTTCAATGCATTACTGT